TATCCATATTATATTGTCCAAGCACTATATTATACACTACATAAATGATAGGTACGGTTAGAAAGACAATGAATTAGCCTTCCCTGTGCTCTCTGCAGGGCTGCCATGCAGAGCTGTGAGAGACGAGGCCAGAGGGCCACCACAGCAGGGCTTCTCCAATTTTACCCCAAGCACAAAGAGGGAGTAGGGAGGCAGGATGCTTTTAGCATTCTGATTCAGAAGGCCTGGAGCGGGGCCCGGGACTCTGAGTTTTCCCCAGACTTCAGGGTGACGCAGAAACTGAATGGTGCACAACCCTTTGAATAACAAGGCCCTAAATCTTCTTTCAATCCTAGGTTTTCGTAATCCTCTAAAAAAGGATTCATATCATCTATCTGTGAAATGGACTATGGAAACAGTAATAAAGGTTTACCTACTGTTAGTGGCTTTGGAGGAAAACATACATCTCAGAATGTACAAAGTCTTAGGGGAACTCTGTGTGATTCAGAAATCCAGCCAGCTTGCCAAGAGGATCGTGAAAAACATAATTGAGATGTGGGCGAAACCCTCCGAAGACTAGAAGCCTCTGCTCGGACACGCACCCTGAATACGGCTGTCCCTATGCCAACATTTTACGGAAAGGTAATTAAGCCCAACCTTGCGAAAACATGTGTTCTTAAGAGTCTCTTGAACTCCCAGCCTCCAGTGGGGTCAGGCAATTCTGGCGGACCCGGCTAACTTCCTAGGCCTATTACTTGCAAGGAACATTTAGACCCCGTAAAGAAACAAGATGTTAGCTAGAGACTAGAACGTAAAAGAAGCAGAGCAAAGGGGAGAACTCCACCAGCATTAAGAAGGACGAAAAGGAATTCAGACCAAACAGTTTCTACAAGGGCCATTATACCGGGTTTAAGCTGGCCTCTTTGTCGCTAGAATCTTTTTATATCAGTTCATGTTTCTTCTCACAGCCACCGTCATCCTCTCCAAAGAGAATTTTTTTACATGCTGCTCTGTTGTGAAGTCTAGGGCTCAGAGAGGCGAGGAAATGCTCACTCTTTTTAGGGTATAATTCTTTAGGTTTCTACAAAAGTATACAGTTGCTCAATCACAACCACAATAAAGATACTGAATGCTTCCATCACCCCCTAAAATCCATGTTCTATAAAATCATTTTTCTTGTATTGCACATTGGTGGCCACAGTGAGGCACGACCATTTATCACAAATGGCACGTTCTCACTTTCTTGCTCACACTCTTGTTTCCCAGTTTCTGAAATCTCTAACATATTCTTTTCTTTGGGTTTTTTCTTCATATTTAAAAAAAAATTTTTTTTCAGTTAACTTTGAATTTAATGATTGTTCTATTCTAGTAACACTGATACTAAAGACGTGATTATTTTTCAATAGTTGAAATGCTGTTTTCTAGCCAAACTTGTAATTTGTAACAAAAGTATAACTTTAATCCATTTCCATGTGCATTCTTTATTCTTTTCCTAAACATTGTACTACTTGGCTTTTTAGATGCCATATTTCTGAAAATCAATTTTCAGTATAAATTTAAAGTGTATTTTTAAGTCAATACAAAGTTTAATTCAAGTAAGTGTAATATACAGTGAATTAGAATTTATATGAATTAGCTTAATTCATATAAATTCTAATACTTAAAAATCAAAAAGACATATGTAAATTTGTATCAAAATATAAAAATCCCCTTGTGCCCTATTGGTGGAAATGTAAAATGATGCAGCTGCTATAGAAAACAGTTTGGTAGTTCCACAAAATAAATAAAAAATAGAATTATTATATGACCCACTTCTGGGAATGTACCCAGAAGAATTGAAAGCAGGGTCTCAAAGAGATATTTGTACAACCACATTCACAGCAGCATTATACACAATAGCCAAAAGGTAGAAGCAACCTAAGATTATCTATCAATGGATGAATGGATAAACCAAAGGTGGCATATAGGCAATAGGATATATTCAGCCTGGAAGAGTTAGCACATTCTGACACATGCTACAACATGGATGAGCCTTGGGGACATTATGCTAAGTGACATAAGCCAGTCACAAAAGGACAAATATTGTATGATTCCTCTTATATGTGGGATCTCGAGTAGTCAAATTCATAGGGACAGAGAGTAGAATGGTGGTGGCCAGTGGCGGGGAGAAAGGGGAGTGGGAGTTACTGTCCAGTGAGTAACGAGTTTCAGTTTTGCAAGATGAAAAAGTTCTGGAGATCAGTTGCACAACAATGTGAAAATCCTTAACATTAATGAACTGTACACTTCAAAATGGCTACAATGGTGAATTTATATTATGTGTATTTTACCACAATTTAAATTTTCATTTCTTAACTAGAAAACATATATAGTACTATATATGTATATACATAAATATCAACAATTACAAATAGCAGAAAATTACATGCCAGGGTTCCATACAAATAGGTGAAAGAAAAACTATTTTTAAAAACTACTTTCCATTATTCCTTTGATAATTATGTAAGTTTAAAAAGTTAAAGCTCTAAACTGTTCTTAAAAACAATGATCAGTACATATGTGTAAACTAAAATGTGCAGTATATTGTATGTATGTATTTATATGCAATATATTGTATATGTGCAAATTGTAAATTTTTACCTAATGAAACTGAAAAATGAAAAAAAATACTTTCTTATATAAAGATATGAAAAACAGTGTACTTATCACTATTTTAAATGAATAAAGTGTAAAATTTTCCTTATAAGTTTGTTATTTTCCTGGTTAAAATTTTTTTTCATAAAATGTTTGATTTTGATCAAGTTTTATTTCTGAAAAGTAAAATGCATTAATATATGAAATGTGTACACCTTACCTAAGTGTTCTTATTATTTTAAAAATCACACAAACATGTATTTCTAATAAAATAAAACTTTCCCTCCTACCCTGCAGTACTGTGTGCTATAGTTACAAACAGTGGAAAGAACTTGTCTGTTTCCTTCACTTGGGAACAAGATCATGTCTATCAAAAGAAAATGAAAATGAGATTTTTTTTTCCCTCCTTGTACCTACCTCTAACTTGCAAAATTTTGGAGTCGTGTAAGTGCAGGCTCAGATTCTGTTTTAAATTCTTATATTTTGTTCATCATGGATTTTTTTGCATTGATTTTGATTTTTAAAAATTTTACATTAATATTGTTTATCTTGATTACTGAGTATTTTGGTTCTTCTCAACCTTGTGCCCAAGATGAGTATCTCACTTACCTCACCCTAATCCTGGACCTGTTCCATGTATGGATGTATCCAGTTGGTTTGTCCAACTGAAGGTGAATTTTGTGTTGTTTCAACTTTGGGGCAATTATGAATAACGCTGCTATAAACATTTGTGTAGAGGTTTTCGTGAGACTATCTGTTTTCATTTCACTTGAGTAAATATCTAAGCATGGAATTTCTTTGTTGTATATAAAGTGTGCATTTCACTTTACAAGAGACTGTCAAACTTTTTTTGAAACTGGCTATGTAACATTTTGCATTCCCACCAACAATTTATGAGAGTTCCAGTTGTTCCTCATCCTAGTCAGCACTTGATGTGGTCAGATTTTTGGTTTTGTTTTTGTTTTTGTCTTTGTTTTTGTTTTTTATTGATCTGAGTCATTCTGACAGGCATACAGGGGTATCACATTGTGATTTTAATCTGTGTTTCTCTAATGATTATGTTTTATTCATGTAGTGTTTTATAACCATGTGACAAAATGCTATATGTACATGTGCTGAAAAAGATATGTTTAAAAGCAAGTTGCAGGACACCATGAAGCACTATCCTTTTCGTGAAAATAAATTATGTGCACATAACTGAAAATTTTTAGAAGAATACAGAAGAAATGTTAACAGAGATTTCTTTAGAGAAAGAAGAAAAGACTTTCACTTAATACCTTTTGGGTAGTTTGACTTTTTTTTTAATGAGCATGTGTTATTTTAATGGATAGAAAACTGTTTAAAATTTAATAGATAAAGAGGGGAGGATATAGCTCAACGGCTAAAGCACATGCTTAGCATGCACGAGGTCCCAGGTTCAATCCCCAGTACCTCCTCTAAAAGTAAATAAATAAACCTAATTCCCCCCCCC